TATATATATATATATAAAATTCATGATTTGAAAAAAGAAAGATTTGAATAAATCAATGTTAATGACTATTGTGTAATTAATATAATTAATTACGTTAATACAATTATGTTAATTACATGGATTAATATTTTATTTCAAAATATTAATCCAACAAGTCATCAAATCAATCTTCTTTTTCGTACTTTAAAATAAGAATGAATTAAGTATAATAAAAAAAAAGTCTTCAGAGTTCGCGATTAAGTTCATACTTTTCGAGGAAGTTAATTTTTTCGTTTTTACAGAGATATTTGATTTTACTCTTCGAAACTGTATCCTGGCAGGATATCTGTCCTCCTAAGTGCGTACCTCTGCACAGGCGTGGTCTGTGCCATCAGGATCCGTCCATAGACTTTGCTGGGCGGCGCGGGTATCTGTTTAGGTAGTTCACTGGACGTAACCATGGAATTCTCCGTGGTCGATGGTTCGTCCGTTCCATAAAACGTTGTTCGATCATTCTTACCGATTTCGTCATTTCTCAGAACAATACCGTCAACGCGACGATCGAATTTCTTGGGTGGTCGAATCTTCTTATCCCGCGTCTTCCTCTCAAAGTCGGTCTGCCTCTCAAAAGGTCGCGTGACCCTGAGGTATCCTACCGCACCTTCGCTCGGAGTTGCCATAGACGAGGCATTAGTATCCTTGCGAAAGGAGCCACTGTGTCCTCGCACGTTCACATAGACCTTAGGCCGGCCACTCTTCAAATAGTACAATTTCTCGTTAAGATTCGGCAGCTTTAGCGGATTCAACGATGGACGTTTGTCATTGTCGAAGGTGTCTAGACGATAATTCGGACTTAGACCCATATCTCGCACACCAAGAATAGAGTGCGGGATCACCTCGGGATTCGGGTAGCCATTCGGCGTTCGCTCCGCAGCGACGCGTTGCTCCTCCTTCAGCACCGTCCGCATCAGACCCTGCAAATTTGCGGCATCCATCTCATCCGCGCCCTGCAGCTCAATCTCGAAGAGCCTGCAAAGAGAGAAGAAACTCAATTTTATTTAATTTCATATAGATTATAGCTTTTTGCTAATATACAGAATGAAAATTGATATTGAACGGATGGAACTTTGAGATGCTGGATAATCAACCGTAAATACACGGTATGAGTAGCAGGTAGGAATAGCATAGCTAATCGGATATTAACGGTAGGGATCGAGCGAGAGCGAGAAATTACTTTTTTATTTTCACGATATTACGAGGTTAATCCGATCGCAATTACAGGTGTCATTATTGAGAAATGCCTTTCTGCCCAAACTCGCGGATATTCGCGATTATTAAACCGCAGCGATCGCGGCCGCACGAAGAAGAGACTCGAGAGACAATCGGTTTGTCCAGCTTTAATCGCGCTTACTATTTTGCTTTCAAAATTACCGGTTGCGCCCAGCGTATCGGTGTCTGAAGATACGAATTGTGGTCACGTAAATCTACCATCGTTGAAATTACACAGAAGCAATTACCCGCTTGGATTTCTCACGTTTCTCGTGCGCCGCAACGAAGACGACTTTTCATTCGTGCTAATTGGGCCGCTTTCCGTCGGTGGGAAAGAATGATGTTTCAGGCAGAGTTTTCCTCTTTTGTTCGAGCGATTTAAAATTGCAAGACCCGAAGTAAATATCGTTTCATAATCACGATGAGTCAGTTGAGAGAGTTTCCCGAGAAGAAGCCGTTAACTAGAGTGGAATAAGTAGTTACCATCATTAGGCGTCCGTTAATATTTTGCGAAACGCATTAATCAAAGACTTGGAACTCGTACAATAAAATTTGGCATTATAAGTAAAATCACATTCGTGATTAATTCGTTAAAATTTTAACGAAGAAATAAAGATAAAGTTTTATTATTTTAAAATACATTTCACTATTAAAATTATAACTAATAAATTTATAATGTATAGATTATATCCTATTTGAATTATCTATTTATATATATTTTATTTCTTATCATATCTATAGTATCGTCACTGCTTTTATTCAATATGTTAATTTGACTAAAACAATTTAACTCAAGAAAATATACTAAAAGTTTGATCAAATTTAATTTATTATTTACTAAGTGCATTAATATACTTTTTTTTTTTACTGTTTATTTTGAAACTACAGAAACGAATTGATTTGAATTTTAACGCAGGTAAAAGTTAAAAATAATGAAAAGTTATTTAACTCAAGGAATTGAGTTACCATTTCTCCTTTAATATCTAACAGTGTTCGATTCAAGATTGATCAGGCGATAACAATTGACGGACCAATTGATCACTTCGAACGAGTTCGCAATTCTAAACGCGAAATGAAAGTGAATTGGTGCAACGTGCGATGGCCATGGAATATAATATCGATACCGATCGGCGATATGAAAAAAATAGCGCGGAAAAAATTGCATTGAATAAATGCCAATCGCTGGCGAATCGATACCTGTAGTCCTCGGTATCTGGTCTCTCCACATTGGTGTTTCGCGGGACACCGTGCAGGGATTTGCCCTCGATGGATTTGCGCGCGGATAGTTCCTGATCCTGATGGATATGATTAGGTGACGAAGGTGGTCTCGGCAGGACCATGGCCGACGTGGTCAACTCAAATAGGACGAGCAGCACCGTGGCACAAACGCTAATTCTTCGCGACATCCTGGAAAGATTATTTTCTCTATATGAGAAAAAACTGTCCACTGCAGTTTTATTCATACAAGAAACTTAAGCAGTAAGTGAATTGGCCAAGCATAGTAGAGACTGTAAGGCTGTATATAATAACAGTAGCAATTCAACATGTTGATTTCCTTGTGCTGCTTAGAATTTTTTTGCCAATGTCAGCTGTTAGATGTTAGATTTATGCCATGACTCTTGTATTGAAAAAAAATGTATTGAATTTTATACATATTTCTTTGAATAGTACTAATTGTAAGTAAATAAATTTACTTAGAAATTAAAAAATGTTAAAAAATGTTAAATAGTTAAATTAATTGTTTTCCTATCAAACAAATACACCGTACGTTTACGTTTATTAAATATTTACTTAGAACTATTGAAACAAATATTTATTAAAATTTAATATTTTTTTCAGTGTATTTAAAATTTAAAGTTCATGGCATATACAAAGACGTAAAATAATAAGACATACTTATGTAGTAAGTAAATCAGTCAACTTCACAAAAAAAAAAAAAACATAAAATTATTATCTTACATTCTCTATTGCTAACTCATTTACTGTTTACTGTCTTATATTTTTCTTATATTCATCTTATGTGCTTCTGGCTTAATTCCGTCAACAGTTTTCTTTTCTCTTTCCACAGAATTTTTGTAAAATTCGTTTCGTCCTGATCCGGATTAATCATTTCTCTACGTTCGTTTTGCAATTAAAGTATAGCTTGACACCCAAAGAGAAATTGTAGAAAACCGTTGCGGTTGGTCAATGCATATAAGAATATATATGACGCTTATATAAGACGCACAATGTATATGTCTCCAATTGAAATCGCCAAACCGGAAATTAATAACCTGTGATTAGTCGTTGTGTGAAACAGGATATCCGTGTAATCAGATCGATTGCGTGGGCGAATAGGTATTACATTTTTCGACGATTAGAATATTCGGCTTCAGCAATTTCACAGGGCGTTTTCTTCACTGCCGAAAAACTGTGGCAGGAAGCCACGACAAGATAACGGGACGACGCCGACGTGCTCGATCATGCCGTGTAACGAGCACGTTAGCAATAAACGTGGTGAAAGTTTTACTCGCGCGAGCGGTCCGCCCGGCGGACAAAATGATACAATTTCTCTTGTTTTCCTTACGTAAGGCATACGCGTATTCAGGAATTCATTCGAAGACAATTGCTCTACAATCGGCAGGTACAATTTTCTCGGTATATATATATATATATAAATATATATATATATATATATCCATATACGTTTCCAGCTAGACTTAGACGTCGCTAATGTTGCGAGGCATAAATTCTTTAGAAGAGAGCGCGAAGAGAAAAGTGGCGAATCAAAGCCGAATAACGACGTTACACTTTTGCCGCTTCGTAGTTCGCGCGTTCTCGATAATTTCTCGATCTACCGATCTTTTGTTCATACAATAATGTTCGATTCGGAGCGGATCGATATCCGTCCGGCGATTTGCCGAGTACAAAATGCGACGGGCATTGTATCTCTAATGCTTTGTGTAATATCGACGAATGTTGAGCTGGAAATGAATCCTAGTGTTTGACGTTGGGATGAAATCATCTCACCATTTCTATAAATTGTACGCTAGTTTAACCGCGAAATGATAATTGCCGGGTATGACGATACGTTCCAATAAGCATCCAGCTCTCCTCTCCAATGATGGTGCAATAATTGAACGGGATCGAGAGATTATTTCCCCGGATAATACACTCACCTTGCACACAATCGAGATGCGAGGTGCAAGGTTGAATGGCGTGGCAAAAAGATTATTTCACAATGCTTACGCAACTATCAGGTTCTGCTCCTCTCTAATTATTTATAGCTTAATTATAATTAATTGTGGCATTTTCCGGTCAATCCACAGTGGATTTTATTCTGAGATATATTTCTTTCGATTAAGGAAGACTGCTTTCATGAGATTTCACATTTTGCAAGATACGAGATGAACTATGAGCCATTGTTTTCATCTGCATTATTTTATTTTAAGAATTAAAGGAATCCTAAAGTTGTCTATTTTATATCAATTATTTTTCAAATAAGTATTTTTTTAACTACTTTTATATAAATTATGGAAAAAAAATCTTTTTCCATAATTAAAATATAAACGGCCGGTCAGCTTTATGCCAAAAACGAAAAAAGCTGGAAAATTACATTTTTTAAATCAACTTCGATGTTGACTTTAGGATCCTCTTAATCCAATATAATTTTGTCAGTATCATATTTTAAATGCCAAATACACGAGGTCTTTCCCTGCACACTTACAGTATAAAAAATTGAACTTTGCGATATTAAAAGTTCGCTTTATCTAAACAAAAATCTCCTTTCTGTTTTACTGACGTTATTAAAAAAGCATATTCTCCAATTAGGATAACTGCTGAAATCCATTTCCGCACCATATGAATCAAATTTTAAATTATATTGACAATATTGTACGGAAAATTTGCGAAAATTTGTTTCATTCAAGCGTGAAAAACACGATTGGCGAATCTATTGTATTTGTCAACAATCAATTCTAGCGCTCGTCAATTCGCGATTGTAAAAATTACGTTCCTAAAGAGCGAATAAAATTGTTTCTTTTTTTTTTCTTTCGACCATGACAGTATCCGTGCCGACCGAATAATTACAATCTTTTTCCATTCCGTAGTGAATCATTTCGTAGCGAACATTTTTTCGATTTTATTCACTACTTTCTCCACTAGCCTCTAAATTTTTTTGATAATCTTATTATTGTCAGTAGAAATTTCTAAAAAAATATATATGTATATAACTCTATCGTTTCTTAGAAATTATAAAAACAGAAATAATTATTATGCAATCTAGCGGCGGCCAGTCGACTAAGAAAAGTTACAATGCATATATGATACAGAATGTTATAACAGGATTACGAAAGCGATTTAACTGAGGTGCTAATCGTAGCCAATCTGATCAAGAATATTTCTCCGCAGTTAGAAAATCTCTAAGGATTTCTGAAACTAAATACTTTCTAGATCACGTTTTACAATCAGTGAAAGGTCTTAAAAGTAGAAATAATATCTCGAAAGTAAGATAAATGTTCAATATAAATTCAAGAAGCAACGAACTAACGCGTGTATTGTAATAACATTGAGCAACAGCGGCCTACATCGAGAAAGCAAACATTTCAGAATACATAAAGGACAAGTAAAATAAGGATATAGATGAACGTTATCAAACTGGTTTTCACAAAATAAATATATTTACACGAAGTGAGTATGATACGTTCCGGACACAAGTGCTCGTCCGATAATCTCATATTACCGTTCGACCAGCAGAAATACAATATAACACGTACAATATAACGGGCAGATTCCTTCTTTCCTGGACCACGCGTTCTCTCGCGAGATCTATGTCTCCACCTCGTCGATTCGCGTCTCTCGGCACACCGTGGGTGTGGCTCCGGTGCGGTGAACAGGTTCTCTTAAAAAGTGCAAGTGCAATCGTTGCCCTGGTGAACGTGCTCGACTGAATGCTCGATGAAGCGGAGCGTGCGACTCTCCACGTGGGGAGCCGACCTGTCAAGCGACGGTTCTCACCAGGCAGCGCGGCGTTTACCGAATCGCGCACCCTGACATTTCGTGTCGACGTCACCGTCGCGCTGCATTTTACACGCGTACATTTTTTCTCTTACTAACCAGCAATTTTCCTCTCTCATCCATCATGACGCAATTCGTGGGACGACTTGATGATGTTACTTACCGAATTACACGTGGAAAAGAAATTAATTGGGTGGTACAGCAAACCTATAATTTACTACGCGAATTCAACATCGACAGCTAAGAAGATTTGATGGTTTTTTAACAAATCGCTAATGTTATTCAGCTGTCAATTTTTTTAATATAGAAAATTGACTGTCTGTATATTACGACTGTAGATTTGCTGAATCAGTGAAGTTTTTCAGCTGTGTTTTTTTCGCTGTGCAATATCGTTACAAAAAAATGAATAGATTAGATGGTTCAGCAAAGCTATAGTTTGCTGCGCACGAATTCGACATTTATAATTAACAATAAGAAGATTTGATAGATTAATAAAGAAATCATATGTCTATAAGAAATTATCAGTATGGTAATTCAGTTAATTCTTTGCTGCAATAAAAATTGCCACTAACAAGTTTTCTTCTGTTGAATTAATTTTCATAAAAAGTATCTTTACTGTATTGACAAATTTACTGTGCTAGTATGACAAATGTGATTATTTATAATCGCTAATTTTATTCAACTGTACATCTTTATTATTTTAACATAAAAAATTGGCTGTCTGTATATTATATACTACTATATTGGCTATAAATTTACTGAATCAATGAGAGTTTTAATTGTTTTAACAAATCATTTTCCTCTCGTGTAAGTTAATAAAAATCTCTTTGCACGTCGTCGAAACTCTAGCTAGGTTTTTCTGTATATTCGAGTTTACCACAAATTTTTATTTAGAAAGCCGAGTTGTACATCTCGATTGTCTAATTGTACCCTGTGAACGCTTATCATTTTTACTTCCTATATCCTTCACGAAGACTCAGAAAGTAAATATGCTTAATTTTCGAGAAAGTTACAGACTCGATCGAGTCTTTCATTGCGGTCGGAGAATAATCGAAATTACGCGGTTTCTTCTTAATCGTAAGAACGTCTTCAGAATTTCCGCTAGGAAGAAAGAACAGGAAATAGCAAAGTTTGATGAACGTTAATGACCACTTTAAGATAACTAAATTCCAAAGAAATACCACCTCTGTTGTTGATAATCAGATATCACTATAGCCTCGAACAATTTTTCAAGTGGAATAGTTGGCTTGCAGAGAGACTCGACAAGTTTCAAACTTTATCGACAGAATAAATTTTCTTTATGCAGCGTGAAAATTCTTTGCTGATTCGACTTGAAGAGGTATTTGCAAGTATTTTTATTATATCGATCGTAAAGTATCGCGCAAATGGAATGATGGATCTATGCCGCTCTA